TTTGTATCATTCCTTTTCTTGAGAGCGATTACGGATTCTTTTTGTATGGCTTTGAAGTTTTACATTGTGCTTTATATGATACGGTTGTAAGTACTTGGTTGTAAGGTCCTTATTTGTAAGTTACCTCGTGCCTGAAGCACAACATCATTTGAGCCGCGTCATGACAAAACAAACATAGTGCGTTTGCGACCAGCATGGATCCAGACCAGCCTGCACATCCGCGCAGTCTGATCAGAATCCATGCTGTTTGCTTACAAACCCTATAACAAGTAGAGAAACGGATAGCGAACAGCATGGATCCTGATCAGACTGCGCGGATGCGCAGGCTGGTCTAGATCCATGCTGGTCGCAAACGCACTACGTTGGTTTTGTCATGACGCGGCTCATTTATTAAATGAAGGAATGAAACAGCCTGTAACTAGTTATATACTTCCTGTAGATTTTTAGACATTTTCTTTTGAAGCCTAATGAGGCAAATTTATGAAATCTGAAATATGCTGACTGTACCAAAGTCTCCCAGTTGATAAGGCAAACATTTTTTGCCACAAAAGTTCTTTACAGGATGAATAAATGTATAAGTTGTCTTAAAATTGTTGAAGAAATTACACAAATACTTAGTAACTTACAAGTAAAAGTACAGGTCAACACTGAGGTTAGATTTTGGCTATATTAGTTTTATAACCTTCATTAGGATTAAAAAACCAGGAGGTGTCAAAAAGCAATGTTTCATAGGTTCAATATGTAGCAATAGCACATTAAACTTTACATCAGGAATTGAAAGAACCTTTTAAAAGTGTTTACTGAAAATGTAATTTCTATTGTTTACAGAAAATGTAATTTCTATAAAATTCGAAGAAAATCTATTAATATTTTGATAAATTCATTACGAGAGAATTGATTCGGTTCATTTTTTATTGCTTTCTTTATTTGATCAGGCATTGTTTCCGAATGGTGAAATATTTGCGGAAGTTAATGATCACCTTGCATGTCATGCATCTTTAATGCTGCTTGTAATTACGTTAATGAGTCCAAATTGCCAGGTTTGCTGAAAGTGTTGAGGCATAATCAAGTTAGAGGCGGCGTTACAACTGCAGCGAAAAATCTGCCGTAAATTCTGCGAGTCATCATTTCGTTCTATTATTGGCATAATTTTCACTTAACATAATAACAAATTTATGGTTTACAGATAATTTTTTCGCACACAGTTACTTGTTAGGTCGGCATGCGTTTCTTGTGTTTGTGAATTTATTCTTTGAAATTGATATTTGTCATCATTACTAGACTTTAATGATTTTCGTAACTTTGTTTATAATATTGCTATGTTGAAACTGTTTGGCATATGTTGAAAAAAAAAATAGAGGTATTTTTCGCTCCAGTTTTGAAAGTGTAGATTAATGGCACAAGTATTTAAATAATTACCTCTTGGTACTTTGAGGATTTCTGGGCTACTTCCCATATGGGTAAACCCCTCCAGCTAGTTGGTTTGAAAGCCCCCCCCCCCCCCTTCACCTTCCACCTCCCTTTAGCACCAGCTCTATTTATACTTTAAACTTGTTTAAACTTGATAAAGAGATTGATGAAATAAAGACAAACTTTATCTTGAAAACACAACTCTGGTATTTATTTGCACTTAACCAAAGCAGATTTGATATTTTGGAAATTTAATGCTTTACAAGAAATACGGTATGGCGAATGTTTTTATTTCCTCCCCGGAATTGTGTGATAACCATCAGGCTGATGTTGCTGGTAATTACCAATTTACTGATAAAGTAATTATACAGTCAGAGCCAGCTTTGCCTCTGTTTATTTGAACAAGAATCGAGAACAGTTGCAGAAGAATATCAGAAAAATATGGGGAGAATTGGTAAAGGATATTTCATCAATGCTTTCGGGGCAACAATCCTTGCAAGAAAAATCCTCCTAGCCTAGAATCTTGTTGATCAGAATATCGATTCAGTTTATTCATTCTACTTTCTTTTATTAACATATGAGACTGGGAGACTTAATGCACCTCCTTGCAAGAGAGTAGAGTACTCTTCACTGGTGTCATAATTAAATTTTTTGCCGGGTTTTTCCTTGGTGATTTTTCATCAAAACATGTTTCTTTTCTGACAAGTCAGTTGTAATGCTTCTTTTCATAGTCGGTCTTTTTATAGCTTCGAAAAAAAAAAAGGATGCAATATATATTTTAGAAGGAAAGATATATCCCTATGTTGTTCGAATTTTGATTTTATAGGTGTTTGAATTTTGATTCAATTCGTTTTCGCATTTTGATTTAATTAAAGTTCACTATTTTCAGTTAAATTTTCCGTTGGAATTAAAGTGCGTCTGAAGTACTTTTATCATCACTTATATAGCCATTAAAGGAACTCAGAGGTCAAAATCTTACAACTAAAATTTTGAATATCTTAATTACAAAGTTCAGCTTGGACACTTAACACAGAAAAATATGCAAAAAAGAAAATTAACTTATTGTTTTAAAAAAAAAAATGAAAATCGTATTTTGTGCTTTCTTTTCGCCTGATTTGAGCAATTTTTGGTCTTTTTTTTCACAATGAGAATAATTATTCTGGAAATATGGAGTGAGCGAATGATCAGAAATTTGGCACACAAATTATTGGTCTAGACCTACAGCTAATGAAACAATAATCTTGAAAAATTATTTCCAGTCCTGCCATGTCAAAAACCCACTGTGGAGTCCCTTTAAAATATAGCATATATTTTATATAATTTTCTAACTCTTAAATTGCTTTCCCGCAGTTAGACAAAAAAAAGAAGAAAAAAATTGGACCAAATTGTTCAGTCAAAGCGAAGTTTATATAAAATGATTTCTAAACATAGCAAGGATCAAAGTACAATTTTTGTAAGGTATCTCCATCACATGTTATTTTTATGATAACTTTTGATAACAAAGCTGTCGTTGAAGAGCGAAATCACGTTTTATCTGCATTGTATTTGATTATCAACTGTAAGATTTTCTTCCACTAAAGTATTACATGTTTCATATTTTTTATTACCGGAAGATTATATTACGGAGAGACAAACAAAGCAACGTAGTCGGAGAGCGAAATCTCCTGTTCTCTTTCTCTATTGCTTTTGGTTTAGAGCCATTGGAAATCAGTGCTGATGTTGAAGCATTGATTACAAAGCTCTCAGCCGAGATAAAAAGAATTGTTTCAATATGACTGGTGCGAGATATAAATCACTACAGCTCACGGCAAATGGATGAGGAGTAATTTGAAGGCTCTACTCCATTTCTAGCCCGATGTTAAGACTTCTATAATTATATTCTCTCATGTCTGTCTGATTTGTTTAGAGAAAATTTGGCTTCAGCAAACTTTCGCCTCACTACTAATGTTGGTGTGTGTGTGTTTATCTGTTTTTGCTTTCTTCTGATACACTGCAGATGTTGCCCTGGCACAAAACTACAGAACATATTCTTTGTTACAATTTTAGTCTAACCAAGCATGTCTACATCAGAGCTGCTTGATACACTCCCTGGAACGTTCATGGGAATATTAGCATGTCAAAATCCAATCTGGTTTATGCTTTTGTGTTCTTTATGACAATTTCTTACAGCATAATTTCCCAGATGAAAGCAAAACCCATCTTGCAAAACTTTGAAATATGATTACATTTATATGACTTTTATATATTTTTATAATAGCTATTTCTGGAAGGCACATTTCTAACTCGACATTACACTTTATTGTTAACAGGTTTGGTTTATAACTTAAATCTGGCGAATTATAATTTTCTTCTGGCATTAATAACGAGTCTCTTTGTTCCCTGAAAGAAAATATGTGATTTAATTTAAGAAGAGGATTGAAATTCAGTTGATATCAACATAATACAGGTTATGAAAACGCATATGTCACGGTAATTTGACCCTGACAGACTAGGAAATTTGTTTGTATATAATTGTATTAAATGACAAGGTTATATGATTATATAAGCTCATAAGTTATTTCCACTGTAATCTTCAATTATTCTCCATCAATATGAAACATTAAGATTAAAGATTGTCTGGATGTAATGTGGTAGTAAATAATAATCTTTTGTTGGAGCTTTGCCAAAAACGTTTGTGAAAACTTAACTATATTGCTATTATAGTGATTTCTACATTCTAAAATTTGACTTTACGGTCTTGTTAAGTTTTATCAAGGTAGAGAATTTCGTATTCAACAAAGAACACTATCGTTTTATGCATAAAAAGCCTTTTCTGACAACTGAAAACAAACAGTGAACATTAGTTTTCAGGGTTACACTTGATTCATGTTTAGATACGAATAGAGGCCTGTATGATTGAAATATCTGATAAGAACAATATTCCTGACAGGCATGACACTGCAGCTGTGGGAGTAGTTTTGAAGTGATGAAGTTTGGGATATGTGTTTTTACCTTGCTGATCTTTTTTTGTTCTTCCTTAGCTCTTGGTTTTCAAATTATTCCTGTTTACAAAACACAGCAAAGAGTTCCGATGATAAAGCTTCCAAAGTTTTTGTAAAGAGATTTGATGAGATGCAAGTAATGAAAGAGAAATGTTTTTTTGCCCAGTAATAGCAATTCATGGTTTCCTTTAATTTAATGGAATGAAAATGTATTTTTCATGGAAATGAACTGTAATGATCTTGTTAATATGATTTCAACAATTATTCATATTGTACACTCAGGATCTGGCATTTGTGAAAAATAATAAACAATATAAGTCATATTATATAATAAGTGAAAGTTCCAGTATAACAGTTTTTGTTTGTTTGTTTTTGTTTGTTTGTTTATTGTTGTTTTTTTGTGTGTGTTATATTATCTGGTTTGATTAAGGATTTATTATGTGCTCTGATATGAAATATCCTAGATTTTTTACTTCAAATTGCATGATACAGCCTAATTTATTTCAAAGCTTGCTTCCACCCATTGACTTATACAGAGTTTGAAGAATCATTTGTTCTGTTTATTATAATAAATTAGGTTAATGTATTTTTTTGCTTTTCTCTTTTCAGCTTTGTTTGCAAGCCAAGCCCAGTCGCCGCACCCATTCCCACCCAAGTGAAAGAACAATACTGTGAAAGACATTGTGTACTTGTGCAATGAAATTGTATGACAGAGTAACACTGAACAATGGAATGTGTTAATAATGTCATGGCTGAGGTTAAAGTGCGTAACCTTGACATTGTGTTGCTGGCAAGGTCAGTAGAGCAGTGTCAAGGTCAGAAAAATTGCCGTCATGGCAACAAGTGGAAAATAAGTGTTCCCCCATGGACAAGAGAATGAAACTCTGCCATTAAAATGGGTTGAAAAGTGACCAAAGGTAGTAATACCTTGGCATTTTGTTGGAGGAAATGTGTATGATAGTATCAGTTTCAATTTGAACGGAATTTACCGAAGAAAGTGCTTTTGAAAGGAATTTACAGGAAAAAGTGCTGTCCGGGAAATAAAATGAATGGACCTACCATAAGTGGTTATATGTGTGTGTGTTGTAAACAAGAGAAAATTACTCTTACAGCAGTCATGGAATTACAAGGAATTACATTCAGTAAATGAGTGATCTGGTGAGGGAAAACTGAATTGAATTGGGGGAAACTAAAGTGAAAAAAATGAAGACGGATTGTTGTCTGTGTCAGCCAGTTATTGTCACTGCCTAGGGACATAAATTGTGATATATGTTTAAGATATTTAATCTGCGTGTAAATATGGCTATCATTTTGTTATATCAGATAGTTTTTGTCTGGAGCCTAAAAAAACCCCAAAAAAACAACATTCTTGTTTGCTCAGCAGTATTCAAAAACAACAACAACAATAATAATTGAATGTGACACGGTGAAGTGTGCAAACACAAAAATAAATATCAAATACAGTTATCAGTATTATGAATATTAAAATTGTGAAAAAAGTGGAGCGAGAATAAAAGAAAATGTGTGTATATGTGCAAAAAAAAACGTTGAGAAAGCCTGAAACTGTGGAGCAAAATAAAAATGGCCTTTGGAATTTACTATTTAAATAATCAAAGGATTATAAAATTCTGGGAATATACATGTAGTAAACAATCTGCAAACGATTTTCATATTGAAAGTAGTAGTATTAAAATAGTGAGATGTGACGTGTTTTGAAACTTTGTGTGTTTGTAGAAATATATGATAAATACATTATAAATGTCTTATATTCACATAGATATTATGGATATATATATAAATATAGTTCAATTTCACAGCAGCAGCTTGGATGTACATGTAATAGGATTATGAGTTTACCTTAGCATTTACATAATTATATATGTGTGATTATTTTTAACAAAGCCTTAATTAAGCATGGCTAATACATTATGACAAATGTTATCTGACGAGAAACAATAAGGAAGAAAAATATTTGACCTTCGTAGCAGACACCGTATTATAATTATAAACACTTCAGAATTAAAAGATTTTTATTGGTCATAGTTATCATTATCATCAACTTTTGACTTCTAATTCAGGATAAAAATAAAATTTTGTAAAATGAAAAAAAGTCTTATGATGATTCTTTATTATTATCATTAATTTTATATGAAATAGAAGAACTTAGCAGTGGCATAATTTGTCTTTTGTAGCGGAGCGTTATTTTCCAAATGATGTCAAACGACTGAAAGTGAATGAGGCAGTAAAATATCTGCTGAGTCAGCAATTTTAAATTGAGGTTATTGTTTTGCAATAAACAATAAAGATGAAGGTCTGATGCTGATTGCATTGTTTTAAGTACATAATGTAGGTCATGTGATCTAATAAGAGGTTTAATTGATGCAAAAAAAAAAACCCACTAACTAGGAAACATCAATACCGAAACAAAAAATACTGCTCCTGATTTTTGAAAGTTTTTAGGACATGAAAATGCCTTTTTAAATTATTATTGAATTCAGAACACAGTCTTATTAAAATCAGTCCCAACTCCCTTAAAGTGACATTATGCCCGTACAAGGGTATATTGTGAATGAACAGATTTAAGTCAGAACAAGTTTACATTTTGTCAGAATTCCTTTCAATTTCATAATTTTATTTCGCATGAGCTATAAATAACACACATGGCCCAAAGAAATTTCTCAAAATATCTATCAGAATTTACCTGAAACAGTCAATTTATAAAAAGAGTGGGGCAGTCTTCTGATATTTTAGGCATGATATATATTCTAACCAAAACGTTTTCAAATATAGACTGTTGGTAAATCACCATTACAACAGGCAGTCTTTTGAAATATGTTGTCAATTTAGTTAAGCTTGATGATGAAAATATGAGCATAATGTCACTTTAAGTGTATTGTATAATTAATTTCAGGAGTTTTTCTATATAATTTTCGGCAAAATTGAGAGAAAACGTACTAAATATTTTTTAAAACCATGCTGTTAAACAAACAAAGAACACATTTTATGCAAGTTTGTTTGTATTTTCTTTAAAACATTCATGTTAATTTTAAAGTATATCAAAGATGTTTTAAAAGTAAAATATTGTGAAAGGAACAAAGAAAATAATTTACACATTTCTGCAATGCAAATGGCACTTACAATCAACCTAAACTACCAAAAAGTGGTCAAAATATGCCAAAATAGCCCTTAATGTGTCAGTCACGCAGTAGAAATATGGTGATAAAATTCTACAAAATCTGTCAATAATGCAAATTATAATATTACTTAAATCTTAATTCTTTTTTTAAATTTTTCATATAAATCTTGGTACATTTTGCTCAAGTTAAATCATTGCTTGAAATATTTTGTTTCATCTGGAGGTATGCAGCTTTAAAAACAATACAGATTGTTAAACAAAGTACACATTTTATGCAAATTTATTTTTATTTTCCTTAATAAAAGAATCGGAAATTGTTTGTTTTACATTTACAAATTAACAATTTATTTTAAAATCAGTGCTATTTTGTTGGTAAACACAATGTTTCTAATTATAATTCAGAACAGCAGAACATAAACCTACAAGTATCTAATTACTTGGTGATTATTTTGGATTAGGTGACTTAAGTGTTTAAAGCTGGGTAGCCCTGAATACCAATGATTGTAGGGAGCAAAGGTACACTTCACTACAACTGGTACCAGATTAGCAAGATAACATTGAAAGAGCTTAGTAGGGGGAGATAAGAATTTAGTGTTAAAGATTATCCTAGGTTTATCAAATTTTATAGGGAGAGGGGTGGAACAAGATAAAAATTATTTTGTACTGGTAGTTAAAAAAAAAAATTAATGCAAGGCTGTTGTATGTCCTTCACTTTCTATTTATTTATATACGCTTGTTTTGCAATAAGTGCTGAAATTATAGAAGAGATAGTCATCTGGTGACAATAAGTGATAATGAAATGTGATATGATTGGTCATAAATGTGGGAGTTAGATGATGTTTATGGATTTTGCTGTAGGCCTGTACAAAGTGACATTTTAACTCGAGATATCTGAGTAGGGGCCATGTATGTCAGAATTACCACACAATCTTGTTTATAAAATTATATCTTTGCTTAAGGGGGTCATAAACTTTATTGGTTTTGCAGTTATCTACATATTTGTAATAATAAATGAAATGTCTGGTGTACAAAATGACAGTTAGGGACCTTCGTTAATTTGTTTTTGGTTTTTAACAAATTGGTCACCTTCTGTGCAGTGTACATGCCACTTTAAAGGTGTTTTTTTTTTTACTTTACTTAAAGCAAGGAAAATAGCCATAAAAAGTCCTTTATATCATATTTTGTTTAAATTGATTTATCGTTTTGGTAGATAATATAATACAAAAAATACATGCTTAATCTTAAAGGGGTTAAATTAAAATAGATGATGTAGCATTACTGCTTCAGTAAAATGAAGATTTTAACATTGATATAATCTGACCCACTGTACTTTCTGATTAAAGATTGATTTTGTATTTAGGAACAAGATTAATTCTTTCATTAATCATCTCTGTACGTTCGGCTAGCGACTCCTTATTATTAAAGTGAAAGGTAGGGAGGTCAATTTGATACTTTTCCTATTGTTACGCTGTAAATCAAGACGTTATTAATTTTAAATTTTTCAGCTCGTTGGTGCGTGTAACAAAAATAGTGTAGTACGTAATGTGAACTAATGTGAGCGGTAGAATAGTAAAAAAAGAAAATGTTCACGCAACGGCAATCCCTTGATAAAAGTGTTATTTTAGTGTTATGTTATACAGAAGTTATGTGTCGGAAATAATTTACGAGGTTTAACGTTGGCATGTAGGCTATGTAAAAAAAAACGTTTTCTTTCGGGGATTGTAACATATGCCAAGACTATTTTTACGAGCAACTTGATATTTTGATAGAAGTTAAGGAAAACATTTTATTGTTCCTTTCTTGCTCTTTGGGGAAACAGCTTGGCGAGAATAATAAGTTTTAAGATAACGGTTGCTCATTCATAACATCGTCAGATTGATCGCAGTTCTTTAAAGTCAATTAAAATTCTAATATCTCGAGATGGAATCTCATTAAAGCTAAGATGCATCAGTTGAAATAAATTGCTTTTTTTCTGAACGATGAGACTCATAGGGGCATTTTCTGCAGACGTCTTCACCGATAAATTAGTCGTCAAATGGTTCTTTGTTCGAGATAGATTGACGTTATTATACCGTCTCGGATTGATTCAGAATTTATTATTTGTTCGCAAGAGTTTTTTCTTCTCTTAAAGATGCATTATGTTCGGGTTAGTTTGAATAGAAATGAGTTTTTGGTTCTAATACACTTCATATCCTCTTGCGATCTCCTCCAGTGAATCATGTAGGGAAGTTGTTACTTTCTTGTGGATCAAATTGGCTAATACTGTTGGAAATCTACAAAGATTGCTTAATAGAAATATATTAGTGCATAGGTGATAACCGAGATATTATTCACTAATCCAAACCATATAGATATCTCTTATTTTACACAAACATTTGTTCTGTGTAAAAAGATCATAAATATGATGTAATGAATTGTCGATAAGATGTAATGAAAATCTGACTGAACAAAATGGAAAAGGCCTTGAAAAATTCAATCATTTAATCAATTACCCAGAAAATTGAAGCCACAAGTCCAAAACTGCTTTCAAGATCAAATTAGCCGGGGAGAGGTTGGGGGACCTAATAATCGAAAGTTTGTTAAAAGGGGAAAAAAAATCGTCATCACAGGACTTAAATAGCATTCACGAAGTCTGTCGCCAGGAAATTGTTTCTTTGTGCGATAAAATGCGCAGTGGCCTAGTGATTATCGAAAATGCACTGAAAAATAAGCTTCCATGATTAAATTGTCTCCTGTTGAATTTTCAATAGGTTATATTGCCCTGGGTTGAAAGCATATTGAACATTTTCTTCAGGGGATAATTCAAGCATGCACATGTCATTTACAATTTACAATTAATGGTTTACTAGTGGCCTACAGGGGTAGATTTAAATCAAAATTAATGATACAGCATGGTTTCTTTTCAATATTGAAATAGGAGAAATCTTGAAAGATGGTAGTTTTAGGATGTTTTATGTAAAAAAAAGATTAATTCTTTTATGTCTTGAGAATATTTTTTTTATTGGGAAATGGGGAGAAAATGCACATTTGTTAAACACATCTGTGTTAATATAATTAAAAAGTGATCAAATTAAAAAAAATCTCAATTTAGATAATTTTAATTATTTTGAGTTTAATTATTTAAAGGTTGTAATTTGTGAAAGATTTAAAGAAGAAAAAGCTGTTATACAAATAATCTGTGTTGATTAAGAATGAAACATTATGCTCTAGGCATTCTTAAAGGTCTTCTGATGTTGGAAAAGATACCTTGCTATAAAGAATTTAGGAGGAGAGGGTAGGTGGGGGTATTTAATAATACTGCTCTCACATTTGATAAGATTTTAAAACATAAGTAAAAGCATTTTTTGAAAGATTTTTTGAAAGAAAAAAACATCATTCTTCGCATTACACTATTTCAGCTTAATATGTTGGGAAAAAAAATCAAGATTTTAAAAGTAACTAAACAGTTTGGCTTACAGGCAATTATATAAAAGGAAAAATGCTAAATATTTCTTGTTTGTTTTTTTCTCTCCCCCATTAGATTAATCTTCAAAAGTGTAAAAACAAGCTATATATCTTTAAACAAACATATTGATGTCTGAGTCATCACAAAAAACCAACACATAACAGATAGCTCTATATAAAAGGTTTTGATCCCTGAATGGCCTGATCAAAGGCAATGTGTTAGTCTTTTTTTTCCTATAAATATTTGATTATAAATTTTTTCAAAAAGTAACAAATACAGAAGGTTTTTCTCTGACTTGATATTTGATGATATAACTTATAAGTGGCCTGATATGTATAATGTATGAGATATATATAGGAAAATACCTGGTCTGAGATAAGGCTCGGTTGATAGAGGAATTTTTACAGGAGTTACTTGTTTGTATTATATGAATGTGCTTGTAGAGATTAGAGCTATGTAAACTCTCAAAGGTTAATATCAACATAGACTGGCTTGTTTGTATAAACAGAAAAATGTGCTATAACTCTCAACGTAGCCTCAGTGCAAGACTGATTTATCTACCTATTTTACAAATAGGTGGCTACACCAAGAGCAACACAGGCTAGGGGTGATGAATATTTTGTATATATATATTATATATATACATCGTATGTGCTGCTATCTGATAAATTGAAGGTTTTTAAATGTTTTTCATTAGACATTTTCACCTAGGACTTGTTATAAATCAGTGTTTTGAGCACTTGATACAGTTGTGAAATGATTTGTTTGTTATTCGCTTTAATATTGTCCTGTGGGGTGAGATAATATACAATTTATATAAAGCATTCACACAAAATGACACAAAAGACAAGACTCTCGACATAAGGTCAACAAAGGTTCAGTGTTAACTTGTTACCTGTTATGTATTAAAATGTAGCTTTAAAAAAGCTTGCCTCCAGATTTATGTCAAGTTTTACAAAAAATTTGATAAAAATGTTATCAAGAGAAACTACGTCAAATTTTAAGCAACTTAACCTAGCCTGTGGTCACAGATATTAATTTAACTTTAAATAAAAATGCAGAAATTTCTCTTTTTCTCAGACACAGGAGACTTGTTGAAAATAGTAAATTTTGTCATAATTTGCATAATTAATATTCAAATTTTCACTTAAAATGTGAATATTCATTCATTTCTTAAACTTTAATATAGATTTTGTTAAGTTGGAATTCTTTTAATTTTTATGCTGCTGATATGGAGGCATGTTCCTTTAAGGCTTTTAGATTTAAAGAAAGGAAAATTTGATTTATATATTTTTTTTTTGAAGTATAACTGCTTTGAAATCAATTTGGTTACTAAACATTACAACAACAACAAACAAAGATTGTGCAATGTCAGTGTAAGAATGTTATAAATGTTTTATTGTGTACATGAAATAAACACTAGTATGATATTGTTAAATCATGT